GAACTGCAGCTGTAAAGTTAGACATTTTAACATGGAGCTCTATGAGGACTGACTCACTGCAGGAGACAGACTCTAGTGGACACTGGAGGAACTGCAGCTGTAAAGTTAGACATTTTAACATGGAGCTCTATGAGGACTGACTCACTGCAGGAGACAGACTCTAGTGGACACTGGAGGACCTGCAGCTGTAAAGTTAGACATTTTAACATAGAGCTCTATGAGGACTGACTCACTACAGGAGACAGACTCTAGTGGACACTGGAGGAACTGCAGCTGTAAAGTTAGACATTTTAACATGGAGCTCTATGAGGACTGACTCACTGCAGGAGACAGACTCTAGTGGACACTGGAGGAACTGCAGCTGTAAAGTTAGACATTTTAACATAGAGCTCTATGGGGACTGACTCACTGCAGGAGACAGACTCTAGTGGACACTGGAGGAACTGCAGCTGTAAAGTTAGACATTTTAACATAGAGCTCTATGAGGACTGACTCACTGCAGGAGACAGACTCTAGTGGACACTGGAGGAACTGCAGCTGTAAAGTTAGACATTTTAACATGGAGCTCTATGAGGACTGACTCACTGCAGGAGACAGACTCTAGTGGACGCTGGAGGAACTACATCTCACCTGTTTGGTTTGTTTACCTGTCCCTTCAGGAGTGACAGTGAGCAGACCTGAGGCCAGCGTTTTCCTGCGTCGCAGTCGTCGGGCGAACTTCCTGTTTGAGGAGCTGAAGAGAGGAAATCTGGAGCGCGAGTGTTTGGAGGAGAAATGTTCCTACGAGGAGGCGAAGGAGATCTTCGCTCTGCCGCAGCAGCTGGTCGGTCCAGAGTAACCAAACAAACATTTATACCACTTCATGTTCCTGTCTCTGATTCGACTCTCTCTCTCTGTGCAGGAGGTCTTCTGGAGGAAGTACACAGGTTTGGATTTCAACATGGCCGACTTTTCAAATCTTCAACAAAATGTTCAGATGTATTAACACTTCCTGTTTGCAGCCGTGGATCACTGCCAGTCGTCTCCCTGTAGGAACGGAGCGACCTGCACTCGCCATGTCGACACCTACGTCTGCAAATGTCCGCCTGGTTTCCATGGTTTCCACTGTGAGAAAGGTGAGTCCACAGCATTGGTGTCCACAGATCTGATGAACGTTGCTGTAACGTGTTCTTTTTGTGTTCCCGCAGCTCGCCTTACCTCCAGAGGTTGTCGCTATAGAAACGGAGGATGTGAACATTTCTGCAGAATGCTTCCGGATCGTTCTCCCGTCTGTTTCTGCGCTAAAGGCTACAGTCTGGGCCGGGACAACAGCACCTGTCTGCCTCAAGGTCAGCTCTCTCGCTCTCTCTCGGACGTTTTTAAAACCTGTTATATTTCAGACGATGTTCTCTGATGGCGTTCCCTTCACTCTTAACGTCCTAGGAATCAGATCAGAAGTGTCTTTGTTGTTGATTTGTTTATCTGTTGTTTCCACAGATCAGGTTCCCTGTGGACGACCTCAGTCACATGTAACCCCCCGCGTCGTCAACGGGAACGTCTGCCCCAAAGGACAATGTCCATGGCAGGTAAGATCTATGACTCACCTGGTTCCTCTAAGATTCAACGTTCAGAATGATGTCATTAAAAAGAGAACGAAACCATTACATCATCACTATTTAGTCCCTGATGAGGAATTAAAGGTTCTCCTCTGTCTCTCTCTCTGTCTCTCTCTCTCTCTGTCTCTCTCTCTGTCTCTCTCTCTCTCTCTCTCTCTGTCTCTCTCTCTGTCTCTCTCTCTCTCTCTCTCTTTGTCTCTCTCTCTCTCTCTGTCTCTGTCTCTCTCTCTCTCACTCTCTCTCTCTGTCTCTGTCTCTGTCTCTCTCTCTCTCTCTGTCTCTCTCTCTCTGTCTCTCTCTCTCTCTCTCTCTGTCTCTCTCTCTCTCTGTCTCTCTCTCTCTCTCTCTCTCTCTCTCTCTCTCTCTCTCTCTCTCTCTCTCTCTCTCTCTCTCTGTCTCTCTCTCTCTCTCTCTCTCTCTCTCTCTCTCTCTCTCTAGGCTCTCCTGAAAGACAAGCTCTTGTTCATCTGTGGAGCGATCGTTCTCTCTGATCAGTGGGTTCTGACGGCCGCTCACTGTGTGTGGAGGAAAACTGTGAGCTCGCTCCAAGTCACTGTGGGTGAGAGACGTCTTCAACATCTCACTAAGCCTTCACCGTCTCCTGAGAGTAACTTTCACTTCCTGCTGGTTAGATATTATTAACATCGTCTCTCTGAAGGTAAACACGACCGTGACGTGGATGAGAAGTCGGAGCAGAGGCGTCTTGTGGCGTCCGTGTTCATCCATCACAACTACAACCACTCCAACACGGACAGCGACATGGCGTTGCTGAGGCTGGACCAGCCCGTCAAACTGGGATTCTCCGTGGTCCCCATCTGTCTCCCCGCCCGGAACAGCACCTTCAGCCAGACGCTGGCCAACGTGCGTCACTCCACCGTGTCCGGCTGGGGCCGCCAGTCACAGTTTGGCCTCACGTCCAGCGTCCTGCTGCGGCTCTCGCTGCCAAGGGTCCCGCTGCAGGAGTGCCGCCGCCACACGGGGCTCAACATCACCCGGAACATGCTCTGCGCTGGGTACCAGACAGGGGGGCGGGACGCCTGCGAGGGCGACAGTGGCGGGCCGCTGGTGACCCGCTACAGGAACACGTGGTTCCTCACGGGCGTGGTCAGCTGGGGGAAGGGCTGTGCCAACCAGAACATGTACGGGATCTACGCCAAGGTCAGCAACTTCCTGGACTGGATCGATGACATCATGTCCACCGGCTCAGGTTCATCCTGAGGAGAAACATCGGGTTCAAAGTTCAATCAGTGAAACTCTGTAAGAGGTCGATGCTTTTATTATTAAACAAATAAAATGAAATAAATAAACACGGCTTCTTCTTTTGACTCTCAGTGGAGCTAACAGGCTAACAGTGTTTGTTGAGTCACTGTAAGAACTCTGAGGACAATGATCTGTGAAAAACACAGAAAGATGTTTAAAGGAGCAGTATGTAACTCTGACCCCTAGTGTTTAAAATGGGTACTGCAGTCTAAATTCTAAACATTGTAGAGAGCTGTCCCCCCCCCCCCTCTCTAGAGTCGATGCTCACACAGGTTGCCATGTGGTGGACTCTGGTTAGGGTTAGGCGATCTTATCTAAGTGTATATTTTAACATTAGGTTTGTATGTATATCAAATGTGTTTTAAATTATCGTCACCATCTTGTTATCAGACGGTCCCATAATGCACTGTTTCTCTGGGTAATCTTTGTTTGGGTCACATTGCGCAGACAGTTTGTCCATCAGGGTCATGTGATCAGGTGATGGGGGGCCGGGGGGGACTTTGCACCTTTGGGTCTACAGAGAAGCTCAGCACCAAATGTTCTGCATGAATCCACCATGTGGCTGAAAATCTTTTTCACCTTCGTCTTAAATGTGTCGAGCTGCTGCGCGGCGTCAGGTGAGGAACTCTATTTGTACATTTTAGAGTGTGCAGGAAATGATCTGCAATGTTTTGATGATTAAAACATAATGATCCAACATTGGGTGTCTAGGACTTTCTGTTGCCATGGTATCAAACCGGTTTGAGTATCATTTGATTTTTACTAGAACCATCTCAAAGTTTAAATTCTGGTATCATGACGGACCTGCTTCTTAAACTCTGAGATGTTTCGTTGATTATGAGTTCACACAGAGAACAGATGAGACGTCTCTCTTAACTTCTGAACATGTTGACCTCATGATGGCCAAATAGAAAAGCCAGAGCATCAGAAAGTCTTGAGGATCACTCTCCGGCACCGTTGAGGCTCTGATCGAGGTCCTGATTGAGGTCCTGATTGGGGTTCTGATTGAGGTTCTGATCGAGGTCCTGATTGAGGTCCTGATTGGGGTTCTGATTGAGGTTCTGATTGGGGTCCTGATTGAGGTTCCAATTGAGATCCTGATTAAGGGTCCTGATTGGGGTTCTGATAGAGATCCTGATCAAAGTCCTGATTGAAGTTTTGATCGAGGATTTGATTGAGATCCTGAGCGAGGTCCTGATTGAGGTTCTGATTGAGGTGTCTCTCAGAGAGTTTCACAGTTCAACACTAATTAATTTTGAAACGCTCTCCTCCCTCCGTCTGTGTCCTGAAGTCTTTCTTGATCCGGATCGAGCCCATGGCGTGCTGGTGCGGACTCGCAGGTTTAACTCGGGCTGGTTAGAGGAGCTGCAGATGGGAGACCTGAAGAGGGAGTGCCTGGAGGAGAAGTGCTCGTACGAGGAGGCGCGGGAGGTGTTCGAACACGATGAGATCACGGTCAGATGAGTTTCTTTCAATCAAATGTTTTTATGAAAGAATGAAAAATAAAACCTGCTTCTGTTTCCTCAGAATGAGTTCTGGAAAACGTACAACAGTAAGCAAACAAACATCTCCTTCATACATTCAGACTTTTTTAAAGTCAAAATGAATAACCTACAACAGGTGCTGAGTAAATACAGGTAGTGTTGTGTTAATGCGAGGCCCTAACAGTAAATTAAACATGCCCACTACTCACAGTATGTTTGAAAGCTCAACATCTCACAGAACGCTTTGAGCTGATTTTTGACCTAATAATCTGTTCGCCCTTCCTGTGTGATTTAATGACCTCTGAATTCTGGTCCTGTAGTCCCAGACAGGTGTCAGTCCAGTCCGTGTCTTAACAGTGGCAGCTGTAACAACCATGGCTCGTCCTACACCTGCAACTGTCTGCCTCAGTTCAGCGGACTCAACTGTGAGCTCGGTGAGAAAAACATATTCCTAAAACTTCATGGAAGCTAGTCTTTGTAGGTCCCAGCATTTAACTGTATCATTATTATTATATAAATATTCAAAGAACACTTCTGATGATGGATGCTGAAGATACGTCGGATTTTGAGCTTTGAAATCCCTCAAGGCTCTTATCTCGGTCCTATTTATATTTGTAAATCAGAGTACCATAACATACATCACAACAAAACAGAAACTTTGATCGGCCTTGTAATTAATTGTTTATGGTCAGGTATTGATCTTTATGCTGACGACTGCACGTTGTACTGATAACAGCCGGATGTCTCTGTTCTGATAATCAGCCCTGAGGGTTCTAAAACCTGCAAGATGTTCTTTTCAGATGACCTGAGCCCCTCCAGCACCTGCCTGCTCGAGAATGGAGGCTGTGAGCATTTCTGTGACGAAGACCACGAAGGACAGAGGCTGAGCTGCTCGTGTGCAGACGGCTACTTCCTGGATGGTGATGGGCAGAGCTGCGTAGCCCAAGGTGGGAAAATATATTTTTATGCACTGATTCATACAATACACCCAAAACCTGGACCTTGACCCGAAAAAGCTAAAATCTGTCATAAAACTGATTAAATATTAAATATCAGCGCTGACAAAACACTTTTTGAAATAAGTGGTACAAGTTTTTGACGTATAAATTGTTATTTTTCATTGCATCATTTTATTGGACTAAGCATTATTCCATCTCATTTAAACTGTGACTTGTCTTTCAGTTCCTAAAGACTTCTTCACACTCAAAAACTTGTGATTTTGGAATATAGACTTGTATGTCATCAGCGTAGTGACAAAGCAGCAATTTGTAGTTATATTTTAATCATGTTTTGTGCTACTGTACTAGTGGCCCCAGTGTTGATCCCTGTGGGACACCCAATGACTTTAAAAATAAAAGGGAACAGATTGAAAATGCATACAACTTAACTGGTTGTTTTATATTTTAAGGTTCTCTTAAAAATAATAAAGATTTCTCTTTTACTTGTGTATCTTTAGAGCCGTTAGCGTGTGGCATGATCCCCGTCCTGCAAAGACAAAATGAATCAAAGCAGCTTGACTCCAGAGCTCGAATCGTGGGAGGAACAGAGTGCCCCAGAGGTGAATGCCCCTGGCAGGTACGATAACCTTCAAGAGACAGTTCACCTTTTCAACCAGGAGGTTGCGTTTCGTTTCTGTTCAGATTAGGAATTCAGAAAATTGCTTTATGTGACTCTGAACTCTGAAATTCTGCCAGAACTAGACTAGACTGAAGGAAACTACAATGTTAAAAAAAACATGTAACGTGTTTCGCTTTGATGGGGGTGTTACTAAATGCACAACATTTCATGTCAAGTCAGCACATGCCATGTTTTCTATGTGGAAGTAACCATAATCATGTAAATGTTTCAATTTGTCTTTGAAAGGTTTTGTTGGTCTATAAAGGCAAAGGTTTCTGTGGAGGAGTGATTTTTAATCCGACCTGGATCCTCACAGCCTCTCACTGCCTGGAGGACACTGAGGTTCAGTTCCTGCACGTGGTCGCAGGTACGAGTCCCTATGTTCACACAGATTTATAACTCTAAGGTCTAAGACAGAGGTTACCTTCTGGGCTAAAACCACGGCTGAATTCAGAGATTTGAACTGTTGTTAAAGACTATAACTGTATATATATATATATATAATATTTGGGGATAAACATTTCAGGATCCTCTGAATTAAAAACGAATATCATCATCCACACAAACAGATTCACTTTCTGAAAATAAACCTTTATTTTAAAATGTCTTTCCCTGCCCTTCGTCTGTCAGGCGAGCACAACACCGAGGTGAACGAGGGTACTGAGCAGGTCATCCTGGTGTCTGAGATCATCATGCATGAAAACTATGTGAAAATCACCGCCAACAACGACATCGGCCTTCTCCGTCTGGCGTCGCCTATCATCTACACAACATACGCCATCCCGGTCTGCATGCCAACGCGACTTCTGGCCGAGCGTGAACTTTGGGCCATCCGCCTGCACACGGTGAGCGGCTGGGGGAGGAGGGGTGAGAACGGACCCACCTCCGCCATCCTGCGCCAGCTGAAGGTGCCGAGGATCAGCACTCAGCAGTGTGTGGAGGACAGCGGCGTGGTGCTCACTGAGAACATGTTCTGTGCCGGGTACATTGAGGGACGCCAGGACTCGTGTAAAGGCGACAGCGGCGGACCGCTGGTGACCATGTACAAGAAGACCGTGTTCCTGCTGGGCATCGTCAGCTGGGGGAAGGGCTGCGCTCGACCAGGAAACTACGGCATCTACACCCGAGTGTCCAACTACCTCGAGTGGATCCACCACCGCACAGTAATGAGGAGTCTGCAGACAAACACGACCGAGGCGTCGCTACACAACCTGACCACCTGACGATAATGCCACACCAACGACACAACGCTACGGTGGTCTGTGATCTCACAAAAACATGAAACTCTGTAGAAACATGTAAGATGTAAACTGGGACTGCAGGAAGTCAAAGTTCTTCAATAATCATCAAACGGAGAAATAAAGTAGGAAGTATCAAGTAATCGAAGATCCGCAGCGACTTAGCAACAACGTGGCAACCTACATTTGATTCTGTGGAGGCATGTGCGACGTAAAGTCGATCTTGAGACTTTGCATTAACTCAACTCCAAATGTGTTGATTAAATCATGTTGAGTTTGTTCACTGTCTTCTGCTCCTACGGTATTTTGTAGCTAACAGAAGAAACTGTTATGAACTCATGACATGAATAAACTGTTTTTGTGTGAGTGATTATATTTTGTTCAGTTGTTCTCTTACACAAACTCAGTTCAGGTCACACATACACATTCACACACTGATGGTTTGCTTTTAATCTCTGTTTTATTTGTCGATCAACAGCTGATCAGATTAAGTTTAAGAAAAAAACTGACGAATGTGTTTACATCGTTCAATTTGTTTCAGTCGGAGTGTGTGCTGGGTACTACCATTGTTTTTTATTTACTTATTACACAATCGCTTAAATTCCTGTGTGTGTGTGTATCTTTAAATCAATAGATTTGTGAAACTGCAGCACAGAGTGAAGATGTGTTTACTGACCTGGTTCAAACCTGACTCTGAGGGTCAGAGGTTAAGTGGGCGTGGCCTTACAGTGCTCCTCTTCTCCTAAAGTCACCCGGTTGTCCTGGTTTAGTTGAGACATTGAACACATCATGTGTCTGAGGAGCTGCTGCAGCGTCTGGATCCTGCTGACAGGCATCGCTGCTGCTGCAGGTAGGAACGTTAGCATGTTAGCATGTTAGCATCACATGACTGTGAAATATAAGGATGGTTTTAAGTTAATTCTTAATGTTTTATGCACACACACACATGTGCTTCATTATTTGTCTCAGTGTTTGTGGAGAAGCACGAGGCCAACACGGTGCTGCAAAGATGGCGGCGGGCGAACAGCGGCTTCCTGGAGGAGCTGCAAAGTGGAAACCTGGAGAGAGAGTGCGTCGAGGAGGTGTGCGACTACGAGGAGGCGCGGGAAGTTTTCGAGGATGATGACAAGACGGTCAGAGATTTTCTATTTGATCTTTTGTTCCCTATCAACAAAGTTCATGTCATTCTTAGATTTCTGGATTTTTTGAAGTGTGATGAGTGCACAAACTAAACGTTTAAGAGCTTCAAACTCCTGCACACTCTAACTTCTAATGTTTTGGATCTGTCTTATGAAATGGCAGTCCAGGCTTTTTGGGGAGGCCAATCACATTTCTGTTTGTTTGTTTGTTTGTTTGCTCTCAGAGAGTCTGAGGGAACATGTCGTTGTATGTTCTTACAGTTTTAATAAAACACATCGAGAAGAAAACAATGAACGTTTATACGTTTGTTCTCTTTGCAGAAAAAGTTCTGGCTGACGTACGAAAGTGAGTATGACTTTATTAAAACGTAACTTATTGTTTGGGGCTGAAGAGAGACAGGTAGTGTTGGAAGACGGGGGGGGGGCCTTCAGCAAAGGGGCGGAGTTCGGAATCAAACCCATTGCTGCTTGGACAAGCCTGACTTTATTTCAAAATAAAAGCACACAGCAAGTAAAGTGTTTACAGCTTCAGACAGGACAAACCTTCAAAATAAAAGCCTAACAAGTTTTATTTTAAAATGATAAATAATGGAATTTCAAACATGCGATTTAAAAATGCAATTAATCACGATTAACTATTGAAAGGTTGCCGGGGGCGCCGGTAGCCTCGTGATTAGTGCGCACGCGTCCCATGTACAGAGGCTTTAGTCCTCAAAGCGGGTTAACGCATGTCATTCCCCGCTCGCTCGCTCGCTCTCTCTCTCTCTCTCCCTCCCAGAGTTGATTACACATTCAGATATATATTTCTGATTATAAACACTCACCTGTTTGTTTGTCTTTAAAGGTCGTGACCCCTGCCTGGAGAACCCGTGTCTTAACCATGGCTCATGTGTCTACATGGGGACAACCTACCAGTGTTTCTGTCCCGACGGGTTCGGAGGGCAGTACTGCGAGAAAGGTGAGAAAAACAAAGAACTAGATATTTTTATGATGAGAGTTTTGACTTCCTGTTCTAAATGAACATTGAATCAAAGGTTCTAAACAGTTCTGGTCGTCTTTAAAGTCTCATCATCACGTCTGATCTGTCCCTCTCCTTCCTCAGCCGTGGAGGACTTACTGAAGTGTGTTTATCAGAATGGCGGCTGTAAGCATTTCTGCGACGGTTCAGGAGAACGCCACAAATGTTTCTGTGCAGACGGATACCAGCTGGGAGCAGACGGGCGCCAGTGTGTCGCTCAGGGTACAGACGTCGACTAACGACCACCGACGAGCACGCTGTGAATGTGACGACGTGTTTGATTTGTGTTTGTTGTGTTGTAGACGAGTTTCCATGTGGTCGTGTGGCTCCACAGGAACCAGACCTGAACCAGGGGGTGCAGGATCTGACCCGGCAGGTGGGGACAGACCACTGTCCCAGAGGAGAGTGTCCCTGGCAGGTAAAGACTCAGCAGAGCGCCCCCTACAGGCCTGATGGTACATTACATCCATAAACAAACAACAAGCTAATGATTTAAAGTGTGACCTGAAGGGGGCGCTGAAGTAAAGCTCATTGGAATGTGGGGGGGGGGGAAACACATTTAACCCTTTAATTCATTAATCGATGTGTCGTTCAGGTTCTGGTTCAGTTAAACGGAAACAGTCACTGCGGAGGAGTTCTGATCAATCGGGATTGGGTCATAACCGCTGCCCACTGTATCCATGGCAACAACCCCCAAAACCTCACTGTGGTGGCAGGTAACCCACTGACGAACCACTAAACTTAGTATTTCCTGGTTCTTTGATTAAAAATGTCATTGAACTGTTTTCCGTTGTCAGGGGAACACAACTTGGACGTAGAGGAGGGCACAGAACAGAGTATACCTGTTTCCATGGCGATCGCCCATGAAGGCTACATCCATGCGACGGCCGACAGCGACATCGCTTTACTGCGCCTGAGTCGACCCGCCACCTTGAACCGCCATGTTGTCCCCGTCTGCCTGCCGACTAAAACCCTGGCACAGCGCGAGCTCCAGCCGACCCGTTACCACAAAGTGTCGGGGTGGGGCCTGAGGATCACCGGGGGCAACGGGGAGAAAGATTCGGTCAACACCGCCGCGGTCTCCCCCATCCTCCGTAAATTTACCGTCCCCATGATCCCGATCTCCCAGTGCTCCCCCGGCTCCGCCCAGTTCAACTTCAGCAACAACTTGCTGTGCGCGGGGTACATGGAGATTGACCACCTGAGTTGCCATGGAGACGACGGCAGCCCATTGGTCACGCCCTACAGCTCCACCCACTTCCTGACAGGTGTGGTGGCCTGGGGGCGGGGCTGTTCCCCAAAGGGGATTTATGGGGTTTACACCAACATGGCCAACTATGTGGACTGGGTGGAGGGCATCATGAAAGACCCGCCCACTGCATTGACAGCCAATGAGAAGACAGCTTTAGACCTGCTGGAACAGAAACACATTTAAACATTCACAGAAACATCCTGAGTGTTTTATTAAAGAGCTGTCAGCTTTACTTTGTTCTGTTCTCTCAGATTTCCCTCAATGTTAAAATCCTGAAGGCTTCAGGTTTTGGATTCATGTAAGTGTACAGGATGAATAAACGATGGACTTTAAAAACACTGGATCCTTCATGGTCATTGAAAAAGGTACAAACATCTGGTCATACTTTACTATCAACAATGTTCTTGAGTATCAACCACAGACTGTAAGGTATCAACGGTCATATTTAGTTTATATGACTAAGAGATCGTCGTTTCCAACGCTAAAAGAAATAAAGTCGTTCTAATGAACAAAGTGATTTCAATCTGTCTTTTTGTTCTCTTTAACAGATGAACACATAAAAACCTGACGTATGACAATCCCAAATCTCTCGTCTCTTTTTTAAACACCACATGTTTTTCTTTGCAGATGATCTCATCTTTTACACCTTCAACGCACAGTACCTAAAGTCCGCCACTAGGGGGCTCTCAATCAAGAATATATAAAATAAGTTTCGACCATTCTTAATGAATTCAGATATTTGAGTGTTCTACATATTTTACTTTTCAATCAGAACGTCTCACACTTTCTACTGATAAATATCTATGGTCTACTTAGATCGAACTTCCAAATAAACAGAGAAAACAAAGTTTTCAAGTTCTTTTCAGGAAACACAGCGTCAGAACCAGAAGTCCAGGTGAGTCATTGGAAGCTGGAGAGACCAGAAACCAAAGCAGTGAACTTTATTACAGTTTGATGGAGCTGCTCGTCTTCACCGAATAAGCAGAGTTAATGCCCCCTCAGCTGATTGGCTGCAGAGCAGGAAGCAGTGTTGGACATGTTTTAGAGTAAAACGGTAGGTGACCCTTAAAACCTCAATGTTTGAAAATCTGATTTCCTGTAAGCCCCTCCCCCTTCTCTCCGTCCGCCTCTCCACAGCTGGAGGTGGAGTATTAGCAACAGACAATAGATTCTAAATTGTGAAGCAGAGTATTATGGAGTTCCAGTATCTCAGCAGTGTTGAAGAAATGACTCAGACTTGACATCAGATGGCTTACGTTGATGAAAGTTTAAACATCAGATGAATACTCATGAGGAGACATGATTCAACATCACACTTCTGTACTCGTGTCTTGCTCAATCACATCTGCAGAACTGTTTGAAAGGCATCGCATATATCCTATAAGATATTATCATTATCAGGGTCACATTGACCCACCTAGACTAAACTGTGACGTCTATAACACTGGAGCAGACAATAAGTCTACCAAACATCCAGCAGATATCAGGAAGAACAGCTGACACTCTCTAAGCTGTACTTGCTGTTCTAATAACAGCTGAACTCTGTCAGGTCTCACTGACATCAGAGAACAGAGAATAAACATCATGACATCTGTACATTAGAATCTAAATTAGATTACAGAGATTCCACCACAACAAGTATTAGCAATAGACGGTAGATTCCAAAGTGAACCAGAGTATTATGTAGTTCCAGTGTCTCAGCAGGAAGTGTCTAAATAAGCCCCGCCCACTCTGGTAGTCTGCAGTCTGAACATGTGCCCCCCCCCCCCAGCACTGTTCATACAGGTCGTTGCCCTCTCCCTCACCCCTCCTCTCTCTCTCTCTCTCTCTCTCTCCACATTCAGACTCCATTACTTCCACTCAGATCACTGAGGGTTTCTCCAGCCGAGCTCACCATCCATCCGGGGTCATGTTGTGGTTTCAGCGCGTCTCTCTCGGCCTCCTGGCGCTCCACCTGGCCGCCGTGCACGCAGGTACGTCCTCCCGAGCTGTCAGGGATGAAGAAGAGGAGGGTTAGCGAGGAGGAATATGAAGTTAGAACAGGGTGGAAAAAAAGCACCAACATGTTGAGTGTGTGTTGGGGGTGGTGATGGGGGGGGGGGTTGTGTGTTGACTGGCGGCTGACAGGTGACACATGACCTTGTCGTGTTGTGTGTGATGTCATCAGGATTGACAGTGTGTGAGTGTGTAGGTGCTATACAAGCTCAACTCCATTAGGAGTCATCCTCTGTCTGAACCACTTTTCATTTTAATACATCGAATAAATTGGCAATAACAAAATGTTGTTCATTCTTATAAACTTCATACTGGTGTTCAAATATTCTCCAAAATCATCTCCAAACATCGTCTGGGATTTCATAAAACTTAAGAACGGTTGTTGATCATCTCTGTGTTCTCACCAGTCTTCTTGGACGGTAAGGCAGCCAATCAGGTGTTAACCAGGCGGAGACGGGCCAACAGCTTCCTCGAGGAGATCAAAAAAGGCAACATGGAGAGGGAGTGTATTGAGGAGCGCTGCAGCCGGGAGGAGGCGCGAGAGATCTTTGAGGACAACGACAAAACTGTAAAACTTCCTGCAAGAACAAAAATGAAACACTTCTGTCAAACACATCATCACAAGCTAACATGCTAACTGTTAGCTGTTTAACCCAGAGTATCATAGATAAAGAGTGCGTCCTAGTTAGCCTCACTTCAGCTAGCCTAGCAGAACGACTAGAAGCATGGTGGTATCCAAGCTCCATCAAATGTCATACATCCTGAAAGTTAACTTATTCTCATTGAGATGTTATAATCAGAGCAGAAATACTTAATACATTAATCACACCTTCTTTGGGAGCAGGTAGCTTTGGAGTGATTTCTCAGTGCATTTTACAGAACGGATCATTTTCTAGAAGACCGGATCAGTTCGGTTATTTGGCCGCGGCTCCAGGTTTCAGTTAAGGAACATAAGACGAACAACACACCTCCATGAAAGCTGATCACATCTATCTTCTTCTCTGAGACTTACAAATGAAATCTGAAATTGTTTAAAACTATTCATCTTTTTTCTTTTTTCTCCTTTTTGCAGGATGAATTCTGGACCAAGTACTTAGGTAAGGATGTGTCTCTGTGTTGTTACTACGCAGATGACTAACAGACATCTCTTAGAACAGTGAAATGTAATCAAAAATGAGCTGTGCTAAAGGGTAAGTTTGGTATCTCATTCTGACACAACATCAGGGAATAAACATCCAAGAAATCCAAGAACTTCCAAACTCCATGTGATCTGCAGAGTCTCTCTGCTCCTTTAAGAAAAAGCTAAAGACCCAGCTCTTTCATGAATACCTACTAACTTAATGATGATGGTCTCCATATTATTGATGATGATGATGGTAATGACGATGGTTTTTGTTTGATAACGACGACTTATAAGATGGTTTCTATACTGATTAGAGCTCTCAAGAACTGCCCTCAATGTTGTGCTTTGCCTCTGGTCACTTCCTGTCAGCACCTGTGTGTCCAATCAGACTCAAAGCTGATCGTTTGCTCTTACTCACATTGTTCCCTTTTTTCTACACTTTTTCTTACTGTCTGATATACGTCGCTTTGGATAAAACCGTCTGCTAACTGAATTGTAGAATTGTAGAAACCAGCTATTGGAAAGTAACTGAACCCCAAACCAGTCTTGGTAAAGCTTGAAGTCGTCTGACTGAATGTTTTTGTCCTGCAGACGGTGATGCATGCTTGTCACAGCCCTGTGCGTACCAAGGAGTTTGCAAAGATGGAATCGGCAGATACACCTGCTTCTGCCAGTCCGGGTACCAGGGCCACGACTGTGAAATCGGTAAAGAAGGACAGCAAGGCTCAGTGTCCTGAGACCAAACCCTGCTACTGCTACCTGTGTCTGTTCTGTATGCACATTTCAAACTTTCCTTTAAATGATAAGACTCAACGTTAAGGATAGAAACACAGGACGGTCCTGAGGGTTTAATCTGAAGGCAGAGGTGATCTCGGTAAGGCGGAGCTTCAGGGAAACTTTAGTCTTTTGTTTCTACGGGATAAAATCTGAGGTCTTGCATTCAAACACGTAATCTTTTTCCATGAGTTGTAAAGGTTTGTGTACTTCCACATTGGAGGAGTTCTTACAATTCAACATCCAGTCCACATGTGCCTTGATTCACCAAAACCACAAACGTCATAACCCTAAACGCTCGCCTTCCTGTCGTTTCTGAATGAGTGTAAAAGTCAAACACTTACTGGGTTTTGTCTCGTTGTTGTTGTTGTTGTTGACCGTGTTTCCTTTGACCTTGCAGTTATTCCTGAGCTCTGCGAGAACAAAAATGGAGGCTGTGAACATTTCTGCAACGTCATCAGTGGAAACATTCAGTGCTCGTGCACCGACGGATATTACCTGGCGTCAGACGACAAATCCTGCCACTCTAGCGGTGAGAGAGTCTGGACTCTTTACTGGACTCTTTATAGTCTGAATCTTCAGTTAATCTCTTAACCAATCAGAAACAAGGGGACACAGAGAACGTGCTCTGGCCTCTTCACTAACACCCTCTCCGCCATTTTAATCCCAACAGTCGAAGACAACAGGAAACATGATTCTTTCAGGCTTTCTGATGCTCAATCTTTGACCTCCAAACTTTTCACAAACTCTTGCAGAAACCTTCAAATGTGGCGCACTCCACACCTCAGACATCCGGGCCGTGTTCAGGTACCAGCGGGAGAACGTGACGGCAGAGAACGCTAACGGGGTGAATCTGACGGACCTCAACACCAACTTCACCAACCTGACAAATGAGTCCTTATCAAGCTTTCTGAACATCACCGTCACCCAGACTTTACCAAGTGAGCCAGTTTATGAAGAATATATCAACTCTGACATGGCCGGTATGACACGCATCGTCAACGGGGAGGACTGTCCGCCAGGAGAATGTCCGTGGCAGGTACAGAACACTTCCATCCTACCTTTTTGCAAACCTTCTGATGGGGTGCCGAGCGTACCGATCCGACCCTAAAGGGCGGAATTAGACACACTTCAGTCTATTGATTGGTCAAAAGAATGGTCACTTCCTGTGTGACAGCGGTAACAAAGGACAAACACAAAATATGCAATGTTTAAATACCCTGAGTCAGAACATAGCTCCGCCCACTGGATGACCTCATAGGTGTAGAACTCTTCTGGACGTCCTCCATTGTTGTCCATTGACCACAGTTGACTGTGTTGTCCTCGTCCTCACAGGCTCTTCTCCTGAATGAGGATGAACAAGGCTTTTGTGGAGGAACAATCCTGAATGAATATATCATCCTGACCGCCGCCCACTGCATGAACCAATCACGCTACATCTACATCAGACTCGGTAGGTTGGTTTGTTCCAATTCTTGAACAAGAGAACCAAAGTTCATCACTTTGATTACTTAAAGATCAAAGTAATGTCCGACTGAAACTCTTGACTTTGTGTTTCAGGTGAGTTTGACGTGTTCGTGAAGAGCGTTAACGAAGCCACCCACATGGTGGAAACCATCATCACCCACAACAGATACATACCAGAAACCTACCACAACGACATCGCACTCATCAAACTGGCCACGCCCATTAAGTTCACCAGGTTCATCCTGCCGGCCTGCTTACCTGAGTCAGACTTTGCAGAAAAGGTGAATCCACCTACAATTAAATAGTTTGAAATCTTTGAATATTTTAATGTTCTCTGGCTTTAAATTAGACATGATGTCACCGCCGTGTTAGCTTAGCTTAGCATGTAACCCTAGCCTCTGTCCTAAAGCAAGACACTCCTTAAATTCTTGATTTTCACTTTATACTTAAACAAACTGAAGGAATAGATGTAGAACAGAACATAACAACTGAACCAAAAATGGTAATTTCTTTCATCACCTTTTTTAACGACTTCCTGTTCTCCAGTTTCTAGTCTTTATGCTAAGCTAAGCTAGCTTCAGACATGATGGTGGTATTAATCTTCTCGTCTTACAACTGAAGGAGTAAACACAGGAAAAGCTAAGTTTCTCACCTCCTCCTGCAGGTCCTGATGAAGGAGCCGGACGGGGTGGTTAGTGGTTTCGGCCGGGTTGGCGAGGGTCGGCAGCCGTCCCCCATCTTGCAGCGCCTCACCGTCCCGTACGTGGAACGCCACATCTGCATGGAATCCACACAGCTGCGCATCTCTCCTCGCATGTTCTGTGCCGGCTACAACCGAGAGGCCAAGGACGCCTGCCAAGGAGACAGCGGCGGCCCACATGTCACTCGCTACCGCAATACATACTTTGTCACCGGCATCGTGAGCTGGGGCGAAGGCTGCGCACGCAAAGGCAAATACGGAGTCTACACCCAGGTGTCGAAATATATTCGCTGGATCCGCGAAGGCATCAACAAGCTAGTGCCCAAAAAGGCAGACAGCAGCCGGCTGAAGAGGCACACAGGCCCCATCAAGAGGCTGACTCTGTAAACAAACATGGCCGCTCACTGAGCTCACGTCCTCTGAGCCTCTCATGAAATCACAGATTAAATGTTTGAAGCTTCTTCTAAATAAACTGTATAATTTGAAAACATTTGGACTAAAACAAGCTGTAATAACATCAATCATATTTGCTTTTAGGAGAACTTATAGATGTGGTTAGTGCTGAGGTTCCTCAGGGTTCTGTTATCGGTCTTTTATATTTTCTGTTTGCTTAAAGCGATGTACAAACAAAATATACAAAACAACAACATGAGCAACATAAAGCAGCTTTTTTCAGCATTTTGTTGTTCTTCTTCTAAACTCTTGTGGATGAGGAGGAACTGAACTTAATTTACATTTAAAACTTGTGAATAAAATCTGTTTTCTGTTTTCGTGTATTTCTATCAGTCAACGTCAGAATTTAACTTTTTGTTAACGTAATTGAAAGCAAATAAAGAAATTCCACAATCCAGTGAAGTACATGATTTCTGTGTGTGATTAAAACCTGTAAATCACCTGAGCTGTTTCTGAAGGAGTCTAACTTTCAATCAACCTAACGACAGGCTGAGAGCTGGAGCTGAGGCGGGTTTTAAACCTCCTGACAAACCGTTACACCGCGCCCACCTGTCAATCAGGTCAGCTACACGCCTTATTGTGAATAACTCTTATCCTTCATCAAATCAAAACTGATGAGTCATCAAAACATTCACCCCCCGTACAGTGTGTGTCCATCCAGACATGAGCTAATCACACCTATTTGGTTTTTTGAACCAGGCTGTAAACATGTTCATCTCTGCTGTAAAAACAGGCTTTTTAGAATGGGTGTGTATGTGACTTCCTGTGCTTCTGCAGCCAGCCTCTAGTGGACACTCCAGGAACTGCAGGATTTTACACTTTAACATAATTTTTCAACACTGGAGGTTGCTGCTTGGTCATCAGATATTAGAAACTAATATGATGTATAAATACTAAATTAAAGCTTCATTTGAATATATTTGGTGGATAATAAACATTTAACAGGAACGCTGGATTCAAACCACAAACATGTTTTCCTCACTTCATGGTGCTGGGTTTCTTTCACAGCAGTGGATGTCCAGTATCATTTGAAATGATTAATCTCAGAGATGTTTACCTGGAACAAACAGACGTGGTGAATACTGGCGTTACAGAGGTCGCAGTGCGTGGGCTTTGAGGACGGGCCAGAGTCCGCTGCAGGAACACGGCGTGCACACACAACTGTTGTCTTTACTTTTAACTCTTTACGGTGCAGGAGGAAATCTGACCTTTAAAGTGTTTCAAATGTCTGTCATCACAGAGCAGCGCGTCCTTCCTAAACTTTGAGATTTCATGAAGTTGAAATATTAAAGATTAGGTTAGAAGCTGTTTGAACAAGAACACGTTTTTAAGTTTACCATGAAATAAAAGCCTCTTTGTGTTTCTTCTATGAATCCGTTAGGACTCGTGGGTGTGTATTTATCTGTGTGTGTGTGTGTGTGTGTGTGTGTGTGTGTGTGTGTGTGTGTGTGTGTGTGTGTGTGTGTGTGTGTGATCAGTGTCATGGCGGGCAGCATCATGTCGGCTCGTTGTCGAGCGTCTCTTCTGTCCCTCTGCCTCCTCGGTTGCTTCCTTCAGGTCCTCAGTCAAGGTCAAGGTGAGACGTTCAGTTTGTTTACAGGTTTCTGTCGATGAGTTTTTAAACGATGAGTCAGAGACGTGAAGCGGTTAAATGTGTAAATAAAAATAAAACGGACGTGTTATTATTACAGCTGAGTAAGAACCAATCATGACTTCTTGTCCTTTGATTCGTTTCAACGACAACATGTCGAATCTTTAAAATCTCTAAATTAAATAAAAATGGACTGAACCTAAATTATAGATTTTAACATGACTTTAAATATTTCCAACAGTTAACAAAGCAGAGAAATCTGTGATATTAGAGTCGTAACGGGACGTGTCTTGTTGTGGCGGCCACCATGACAGACACGCCATATTTACCGTTGCCGCTGCATCGTGAAGCGTGAGCTGCTGCTGAAAGCTGCCGTCCTGTCGCTGTTTGTGCTGCTGTGATAAAAACATCATGCAGATTGTACTCGGATACATTAATTTCACCCGGTCGTCATGACAACGGTTAACTCGAAGGTTGTTTTCATCAGGGGTGGGGGGGGGGGGGGGGGGGGGTAGAGGGGGGTAGGAGAGAGAATCACTTCCATGATTCCCCGCGAGCCTTGACGTCATCCTTTGTTTTTGTATTGATTGAGCGCCCCCTGGTGGTGGAGTTTACGTACTGCGCCTTTAATTCCCTGATTATTGTAACAACTTCACGAGTAGGAAGTTAATTAAAAACATGACGTACTGAGAGCGATATCACGACAGCTGAACTAAACTCAAGACCGATAATCAAACTTTTCTCTAATCACGACTTGGTGAACTCGTGTTCTCAGTGTTTCAGGCTCCGCCCACACACAACGTCTTCCTGCGGTCCAGACGGGCCAATCAGTTCCTAGTGGAGGAGATCCTGCAGGGGAACCTGGAGCGCGAGTGCTACGAGGAGCTGTGCAGCTACGAGGAGGCACGCGAGTACTTCGAGGACGACCAAAAAACGGTCAGATTGATTTGTTGTTAAAAAACGATTCTCAACGTGTCACGTCTTCAAGTCGCTGTTTAAACTCTGCGTCTGTTTGTCTCCCTTCAGATCTCCTTCTGGACCGTTTACTACGGTCAGTGTTCTGTCAGACGATTCTCCTGAAGAACTTATTCAGTGTTCTTCTGTGTAGAGCAAAGATCACATGATCAGTATCAGGATCAATGTGCTCGGTGATCGTTTCATCATGTCTGCTTAACTGAACTTTGACCCCGTGACCTCATCGATGGGTTTGTGTTTCTGATCAGATGGCGATCAGTGTCAGCCCAACCCCTGCCTCCACGGGGGGAACTGCACAGACCAAGTGGGCGGGTTCATCTGCTCCTGCTCCGCCCCCCACTACGGTCAGGCCTGTGAACTGGCAGCCCAGCCCCCCACCGCGCCGCAGATCAACGCCGCAGGTTTGACCACACTGATCAGTTTGACTCCGCCCCCTGGCCTATAAGAGTCTGTGTTGTGTTCAGTTGATCCCCGCAAATTTTTTTAATTGACCTTCAAGAATCTGTTTTTAAATTTCCCAGACGTGTGGCGGCGCAAGAGTCTGATTGCGTCTCTGTTACCATGGCAACGCCATTATTAATAACCGCTTCTCTCTCGTGCTTCAGAACTGTCCGAGTGTCCGACTGAAGGTCCCACAGCGTGTCACCAGCTGTGCATGGCGTCCTACCACTCCTTCAAGTGCTCCTGCCTGCCGGGATTTAAACTACAGACCGACGGGCGCACGTGCCTGCCTGAAGGTCCGCCCCCGACCCGCCAATCAAACATCAAACGCAGCACACAGAGAAAAAACAGTAAATAATTCAATGTTTGTGTCCTCAGTTGAGTTTCCCTGCGGGAAACTTCCCAGAGACTTCAACACAACTGCGTCAATCTGTCGCCATGGAAACTGTCCCTGGCAGGTGAGATCAGCTCAGCCAATCACAGAGCGCTTCAGCATGTTAGTGATGTTCGTCTCCTCGGCGTCTCCTTCAGGTCAAACTGCTGTAACTGCACTTCTGTCTCTAGGTGTCCCTGTTGAACAGAAAGGGGGAGGAGCTTTGTGCTGCCGTGGTGCTGGGTCGGCGCTCCGTCTTGACGGCTGCCACCTGCCTCCACCCGGAGTCCGAGCGAGTATCCGACCTCCGACCGTCAGACTTCTTCGTCCGAGCTGGTAATTTGACTTTGAAGTTCCATAAAATAAAAGTCTGCGGGCTGACATTATGATCTCGTCTCCTAGGCAACAGGAAGCTGGTCGTCCCCATCAGCGCTCTACATGTCCACAACCGTTTTCGTACAAATCACCACGACAACGACCTCGCCCTCCTAGAGCTGTCCCGCCCTCTAACCTTTGGCCCCGCCCTCATCCACCTCTGTCTGCCCACCAAAGACTTCTGTGAGAACATCCTGATGCATTCTGGGAGGATGGGCATCGCCAAGAGACGGGGCGTCAGTCGGACGGAGGAGCTGGTCTACATGCTGCTGGACGAGTGTCGCAGTCAGATGAACGTCTCGCATCTGCTCAGCAACAAAATGTTCTGCATGAAGGCGCTGAACGAGCCGCCAACGAGACACAACGCCGCCAAGAGGAGTCTGAAGGGAAATCTAACGGGGACGCAAGGGAAACCAGATCGACCTATCAGGATCCAAAATGGCAGCCAGGAGGGGCTAGGCGGACGTCAAACCCAGAGGGGCGGAGGGACGCCAAACGAAGCAGAAACGTTAAACAACAACAGTCTGCAGCTTCAAAATGAGCCTTCAATGTCTGACGGCCGTAAACAGTCGGACATCAGCAGGCGGTGTGACGGCCTGTTGCCGGGGACGCCGGTTGCTACGGTGGATCGAGGGACAGTGTTTGTTACCGGGCTGCTCATGTCATCGTCGGCCCGTTGTGACAGCGGCGCTCTAGTGTTCACAAAACTGTCCCGCTTCTTGAACTGGATCAGACCGAAGGTGGAGGCTGCCGAGGATTACATGACCCCCCAAGTCAGCCAATACCCTGAGACTGACTGACAGGCCGCCATCTTTAAACGCTCTGTTAACGTTTAATTTGTGTTCAAATTCAATTTCACATTAAAAACTAAAGAACATCTGAACATCAAGTTTTATTATCAGCTGAAGAAAGATGTTTGCAGAAAATAAAGACTCCAATACCCACAATGCACCATCAAGCATCCAGAAAACTCAGACTGAAGCGTGATTGGTTGAATAATAAATAATAATAATAAAGTGAAGCAGACGATGTACGAACCATCTTCTGTTTAATTCAAAATAATTTTACAGTACAAAATAAAATAAAAAAACATGTGGAAAGTTTCCTGTGGAGCATCACAGCCAGAGGGGATTGTGGGTAACGTAGTCTAGGAGACAGAGGAGAGAGGAGGGAACGGGTTCTGTTTACTGACCACGAGCTTCTGGTGCTGATGGGAGATGTAACCTTTGATGTGACCCTGAGAGGAGGACAGAAGAAGAAGTCAGAGAGAGAGAGTGTGTGTGTGTGTGTGTGAGAGTGAGTGAGTGAGTGAGTGAGTGAGTGAGTGAGTGAGTGAGTGAGTGAGTGAGTGAGTGAGTGAGTGAGTGAGTGAGTGTGTGTGTGTGTGTGTGTGTGTGTGTGTGTGTGTGTGTGTGTGAGAGAGTGAGTGAGTGAGAGAGAGAGAGAGAGTGTGTGTGTGTGTGTGTGTGTGAGTGAGTGAGTGAGTGAGTGAGTGAGTGAGTGAGTGAGTGAGTGAGTGAGTGAGTGAGTGAGTGAGTGAGTGAGTGAGTGTGTGTGTGAGTGAGTGAGTGAGTGAGTGAGTGAGTGAGTGTGTGTGTGTGTGTGTGTGTGTCCTCACCATGTATATGAG